GGGGAAGGAGGCTGCGAGTGCCGCTGCCGGGGGCCGGGCGCAGGAGTCAGCGCCGGGCGGGGCGGGGCCAGGAGCAAAGAAGCCCCGCCCCGCCCTCCGCGTGCTAGGCCCGCCCCCTTCGCCCCCCGCTGAGCCTCCGCCGTCCATCCCCAGACCACACCTCGGGTTCTCTCCAATCGCAGCGCCGCCCACTTGAGTGTCTTCCCAAAGTTAGCCCCCGCGTGCCATCCTCTCTAGGTCTCTGCACCGATTTTCTCTCCTGACCTGAGTTCCTTTCTTCATGAGGTTTGGGGACCCCACTTCAAGCCCCGCTAATCTCCCGCGTTTCCATCTCCTCCGGGTCCACCTTCCTCGGCGCTTCCTTCTGCGTTTCATCCTCCCGGCCCCACCGTCCCCACCCGTGCTCCCCAATTCCGGGCCCATCTCGTGTCCTCTCCAGTCCTGCGTTCTCATTCAGACTTCTTCTTCTTCAGGAAGTTCTTTCCCTCTCAATTCCAGCCCCTACTTCTACCCGGCCATTGTTCTCTTTTCTTCCTCCTCCGTCCCATTTTTTCACCTCTGGGCTCCATCGCTCCCGTCTTTCCCATTTTGAACCCCACACCCTGCAGCTCCATCGCCCTCCTCAGCACGTTCCCGGCCCGCGCCTGCCCTCCCCAAGTTTCCTTCCCTCCAAACTCCATTCCCTACAGCTATATCCACCCCCACTGTCCCCTGCGACCCCGTTTGCTCCCGACTCGGGGTTCTAGCCCCTCCACGGGGATCCGTCTCTGCAGAGTTCTGAGCCGGCTGGGAGCCGCTCCGCCCTGGGAGTCTGTCCCCACCCCCTAGCTGGGGCTCCGCCTTATGTGTTCTGTCCCCGCCCCCAAATCATGTGCCCGCCCCCAGGTCTGCCCGCCCCCGGTCCCTTGTTTGCCCTCTGACCACTGGGATCTGCCTCCGACCCTTTGAGTGTGTCGGGGTTCGGAGCTCTCCCGGCCGGAGGATGTGTTCCCGCCTTCTGAGCGCTGGCTCCGCCCCATCCTTTCCAGCCCCGCCCTCGGGTGGAACCCCGGCTCCCTCTGCCGTGCCCGGCTCTGGCGGGCACTCCAGCCCTTGTGCTGGGCTGAGTCCGGCTCCAGGTCCCGGCCCCAGCAGCATGCTCCTTCCCCACCGCCTCCCCCGCCGGACCGCAAATGCATTTGGGATTAAATTTTCATGATGCGGCCCGCGAGGGGGAGAGTGAAGCAGACTGCGCGGCGGACGGGCCCCGGGGAGCCGGGAAGACGCTGAGCGCCGTGGCCTGTTACCTCCAGCCTGGCCCGGCTGGACCCGGGGTGTCCCAGTGTTGTCTATGGTTGAAAAAACGCCCGATACCCCAGGACGAGGAGGCTGAGGGCCGGAGAAGGGCGGTGGGGCCCGGGAGCCCGGGGCTGAGGAGCAGTCGAGGAACCGCTCACGCGCGCCACCCCGTGGTGACAGAGTGCCGCGCGGAGGCGGCGGCCGCGGCTCGGGGCCAGGTGTGCGGGAGGAGCAGATGGCGAAGAGGAGGGAGTGCGAAGGGGGCCCCCGCCGATGCCAAATCCTGGTCCTTGCTGGAACCATCACCATGGAGACGGAAGAAGAAGGAAAGGACCCAGCCTCACGCTTTTTCCGGTCCTGGGAATGAGTTCTTCGACTGCCGAGGGTCCTCATCGAAACTACAAGTCCCAGAGGCGTCTGGGTCTCACGCTTGGGGTCCATGCCTATCAGTTTGTGCTGGAGAAGGGCTGCTGGGAGATGTAGTTCTCAGAGCCGGTGAACTGAGATCCCGTTGAGCCCTCTGGTGGACACCCTCCGTGCATTTTCTCTGCATCGGCTGACTGGTCTTCGCTTGCCGACTTCTTGGCCGGGTTCATTGGGCTGCAGCTACACTGGCCTCCACCCTGAGGTTCCTCCGCTCCCTTATCCCTTGGGCTCACCACGGAGAAAAGATGTTGGTCATCATTCACGAACCCAACCTACTATGAGCCAGGTGCTGTCCCATCATAGGGGGATTTTCATTCAGCCAGAGAAGAACAAAGGATGAAGTTGGACACCCGGGCGTGGTGGTGCACGCCTGTAACCCTAGCACTTGGGAGGCTGAGGCAGGAGGATCACTGCAAGTTCAAGACCTGCCTGGGCTGCAAAGTGAGCTCAAGGCCAGCCTGAACCGCATAGAGACCCTGTCTCAAAAGGAAAAAAAA